ATTCCGCCGACCATCCAGCGCGTGGCGAGTCATCTCGATCCCAATGCGCCGATCAGGCTGCAACCGAGCCCAGCCTACTACCCACCTCCCCCAGATGGATATGTTGATGCCAACTCAGCCAACCAGCAAAGGCGTCGGGGAAGCCGAACGGGTGGCACAAGAAACCGGGATTTTATCCGGACTCTAGAAGACGGTGTCCTAGGAGGTGAAGGCTTCATGAGCCAAAATCAGTGGCACTGAGGGTGATGAGACCACTGGCAGTTTGGTCGCACCTGGCCGGTGCATCAGCCTCGCTGACTAAAATTCGATCGAGCAAGCACATGTTCCATGTGCGTCTACCACGAGAGAAGAGCAGTCAGATAGCTGTTCTCGCGTGTCCTCCTTTCGTGGGATTCTGCAAGTGTTTTTCCCCCAGTCTTCCCACCACCAGGTATTCCCAAGTTGGACCGCTCGCTCTCAAGCCACAACAGTACCGTCACGCAACCCTGCTCCATATGCAGTCTGCTTGTTGATCAGCATACAACATTCGATATCTTTAGCCCTACTGCATTCCCTGGGATATAACGGAAGGAGCCTCCCGTGACACTCCGATGTCATTATAGTGACTAGCGCGGGGTCCTAGTCCAGCGTAAAGCGCCTTCCGGTGGCGTGTTGGTACTTATTTTGCCGATCATCGACGGATTCAATGTCTGGGACGATCTTCCTAGGTTCCATGTCTCCTCGTGTCAACTCTCTGATCATGTGTGTGGTGGGTTTCCGGCATAGCCAGGAGTATTGGAAAGACTTCGATTTATGTCTCTTTTATAGTACCTATGTTTTTTTTGTTCACATTCCTGATTATGCTTCGCACAATCTGCACGGAACTGCCTCTGTTATGCGCCGATGCGTCGAATTGTCTTCGTTTTCCGTTTTGCCTTCTGATTCTCCCTTTGTTCTTTTTACCCTCTTTGTTCTCGTGTGCAACCGAAGAGAGAAAAACATGGCTGTAGCTTGGATATTTGAATATGGATTGCGGTATATGAGGATAGGAACGAATGGCAAGAGGGCATATAGAAGTGTTCTGATATTTTCTGATATGGAATAAGGATATACTGATAAATGCATTGACGATTCTCCGCAATATTGAAATTGAGGATGGCGGAGTCGAGTCTAGAAACTAGAAGCGGGATGTGGTTGTCTAATTCCCCGATGCGGTTAGGTGTGGCCTCGCTTAAATTTCGTGTGTGGCTCGCGCAGCCCAACCTCTGCGGCTCCCGCCGTACCCTCACAACTGAATTTGCTCCCTAAGCAAAAGAAACAGACCGACCGGCTCTGAGGGATCTACGCTTCTATCCCTGAACGACTGTGCGTCACCCCGTCGATATTTTTTTTGTGACGGCAATCCATCGATTCTCCGCGACTTTCTCCGGTTGATTTCAGCGTTCGAAAAAAGACAACACCTCAACACAACCCGCAAACATGTCGCGTTTCTTCTACGGTGGCGGTAGCGACAGCGAGTCCAGCTCGTCCGACGAGGAGGAGCTCTACAGTGATCGTGAGGAGGAGGAGCAGTCCGAGGAGGAATCCAGCGAAGAGGAAGAGGACTCTGAGGAGGAGTCCTCGTCCGAGGATGAGGGCGCCGGCAAGACCGGTGCCAGTCGTTTCATGAGAAATGTCTCGGACAGCGAAGAAAGCGAGGACGAGGAGAAGGTCACGGTCGTCAAGAGTGCCAAGGACAAGCGTTTGGAGGAACTTGAGGGCACCATCAAGTTGATCGAGAATGCCGAGAAGATCAACGACTGGGCGGTCATTTCGACAGGTGCGTTGGACCACACTGGACTCCGCCAGGGTCGTCGACACATGGCGGCGAGGAGGAGAAGGAATCACGGTGGTTGGATGCTAATTTGGGATCAATCTATACAGAGTTCGACAAGCTGAACCGCCAGGTCGTTAAGATCACTCAGTCTGGCCCCGTTCCCCGTGTCTACGTCAAGGCCGTTGCCGACCTCGAGGATTTCGTCAACGAGACCGTCGCCAAGCAGAAGTCGGCGAACAAGAAGATGAACGCCAGCAACTCCAAGGGTTTCAACGCCGTCAAGCAGCGTATCAAGAAGAACAACAAGGACTACGCCACCCAGATCGAGAAGTACCGCAGCAACAAGGATGGTTATCTGGATGGAGCCGACGAGGAGGCCCGCCCTGTCGTCAGCGCCCCCCGTCTCACCAAGGTCGAACGCGTCGAGGCTCCCCTTGCCGCTACCCCCGCTGCCACTGCTGCTGCTGCCGATGATGGCTTTGCCACTGTCGGACGCGGTGGTAAGACCCTCCAGTACACCCCTGAGAGTATCCTCAAGCACCTCCGCGTCATCGTCGAGTCTCGCGGAAAGAAGAACACCGACCGTCTCGAGCAGATCCGCACCATGGAGAAGCTTCTGGAGGTTGCTCAGAGCCCTTATCAGCGCATCCGTATCTACCTGACCCTCATCTCCACCCGCTTCGACCTCACCTCTTCTTCTTCCGGCAACTACATGGCCGTTGACCAGTGGAAGTTCGCCGAGCAAGAGTTCGCTACTCTTCTGTCCGTTCTCGAGAACAACCGCGACTACGTTGTGACCGAGGGTGCCGAGGAGTGGGAGGATGACGAGAAGCAGCCCACGGTTACCGCCGGCGAGACCCTGCACATCCCCGGCAGCATCGTTTCTTACGTTGAGCGTTTGGATGACGAACTCACCCGCTCCCTCCAGAACATCGACCCCCACACCGCGGAATACATTGATCGCTTGGGTGACGAGAAGCAGCTGTACACCAACCTCGTTCGCACTCAGACCTACGTCGAAGGTCTCACCTCCGCCGAGAAGAGCGACCCCAGACAGGACAGCATCAACAGAGTCGTTATGCGGAGATTGGAGCACATCTACTTCAAGCCCTCCCAGGTTGTCACCATCCTGGAGGAGGCTACTTGGAAGGCTCTCCCCGCCGAGTTGGACACCAAGATCACCCCCCGTGCTAACGTCGGTGATGTGACTGAGCTTGTCCAGACCCTCTGCAACTACCTGTTCAAGAACAGCGACGGTATCATCCGCGCCCGTGCGATGCTCTGCCAGATCTACTTCCTCGCCCTTCACGACCAGTACTACCGCTCTCGCGACCTGATGCTTATGTCCCACTTGACGGAGAACATCGCCAATTTCGACGTCAGCACCCAGATCCTCTTCAACCGCACTCTCGTCCAGATCGGTCTCTGTGCCTTCCGTGCCGGTCTCATCTACGAGGCCCAGACCACTCTCTCCGAGGTCTGCGGCAGCGGCCGTCAGAAAGAGCTTCTGGCTCAGGGTATCATCCTCCAGCGCTACTCCACCGTCTCCCCCGAGCAGGAGCGTCTGGAGCGCCAGCGTCAACTCCCCTTCCACATGCACATCAACCTGGAACTCCTCGAGTGCATCTACCTCACGTCGAGCATGTTCTTGGAAGTCCCTCTCATGGCTCAGACCTCTTCCTCCCCCGAGATGAAGCGTCGTGTCATCTCCAAGACCTTCCGCCGCATGCTCGACTACAACGAGCGCCAGGTCTTCACCGGTCCTCCCGAGAACACCCGTGACGGTGTCATCATGAGTGCCAAGTTCCTTGCCGCCGGTGACTGGAAGAAGGCCGCCGAGATGCTCAACTCGATCAAGATCTGGGACTTGATGCCCCAGCCCGAGAAGGTCAAGGAGATGCTGTCGCAGCAGATCCAGGAGGAGGGTCTCCGCACCTACCTCTTCACCTACGCTCCCTTCTACGACAGCCTGTCGCTCGCCACCCTGGCCACCATGTTCGAGCTCCCCGAGAAGAAGATCCAGGCCATCATCAGCCGGATGATCTCCCACGAGGAGCTGGCGGCCGCCCTGGACCAGGTCAACGACGCCATCGTCTTCCGCAAGGGCGTCGAGCTGTCGCGCCTCCAGTCCCAGATCGTGACCCTGGCCGACAAGTCGATGAACCTCCTGGAGGCCAACGAAAAGACTCTCGAGCAGCGTACCCAAGGCATGGCCAACGCCTTCCAGCGCGATCAGGGCGCCGGCGCCCGTGGTGGCCGCGGTCCTCGAGGTGCTGGGCAGGCCCGTGGCGGTCCCCGGTTGCCCGGTGGTCAACAAGGCCGCCGCCCCGGTGGTCAGCAGTTCAGCGGTGGTGCATTGGGTGGAGCAATCAAGGCATAAAAGAAATGTTTTGTTAATGGCAAATTGATTGTTTTATTTCTCTCATGGTTATAATGCTCAAGCTTCTTCTCTTTCTCGATTTTCTGGAATCCTTTGACTTCTCCTTTCCCTGAACCCCCTCCTCTCCTCCCTCCCTCCCTCCGCAAGCTTAACGTACGATATATGCCATGTGCTTTCATCCCTCCGCCTCTCATCATGGAGCCAAATTCCCTTTTTCTCGCTTGCTGGAATGACTGTCGTCCCATCGTCGACGCCTCTTTTTCCTCCTCTACCTTTTGGATCTCCATATCGTACCTTTTTCTTTTCGCTTCGACTTTGCAGAGATGAATTTGACGTTTAGAATGAATGGGGGTGGTACACAAAAATTCCAGGCGATGGAAACTTTCCAATGTGATGTATGAGATTTAGAGGGCGAAATAGGAATTGCTGAAGATACTCATAAGATCTTCCGGCGTATATGTATCTGCTATATATTGTAGGTCCCTATACACTTAACTTGGTGTGATACAGCTTAGGCTGTCAAGTCCGAAGGCCCATGGTGGGGGCTAGGGATATGTATGTACATGACGGGTCTTGTAGCCAGGTATCTTTGCGGTAGCAGGATGAATATGTGACCATGCTACTAGGCTTATTGACCACGCGCGAGAACCCGTTGTCTTTGCAGATGTGTTCTTGGTGGGTCATGTAGCACCAAGGGGAGTGACGCCGGAATGGTTTTGCCGCGGGTCTCTATGAAGTTTCTCGTACCCTGGCGGCGACAACTGTGTGTGTCTCTACGGTCAAGGGCTGTCCTACCAGACGCCCAGTTCAGGGTGATGGCGGTGCTCAGCCACTATCGTCTAGCAGATTCTGTGGCGACCAATACTCGTTCTCTTCGCCTTGGGCATCCAGCCAAACAAGCCCGTCAGCGAGCAGATCATCGACCACCGTCTGCGCTCGCGCCTTCTCCCACTTCAAGTTGACCCGCAACATGGAGATGCTCACGTAGCCCAGGACCTGGATCACCTCCAGAACGGTGGCCTGATCCGTGTTGAGTTCCTTGGGGACCGACCGGATATATTGTTTGCTCCCGACACGAATGATGGCCAGGCCCGAGCCCAGCGGCTCCAGGGACTGGACCGCACGGAGGACATCGTCACTACACGAAGAACCCATTCGCATCAGTTTTGAGCTTCTCGACGGAGCCAACCATACCATAGTGAGGATATTCTTACTCGGTAACCTCCAACCCACTCCCGATCGCCCTGCCTTTGCCGACTCGCCGACGGCACTCCTCCACCCCGATCAGACCCCCGTTCTCGCTCCGCGTCTCGCGGCAGAGCTCCACCACCCGCACCGCCACCTCGAAGTAGAAGTCGTTCATGTCGCCGCCCATGATCTGCGTCCAGAAGCTGGCGTTCTCGCCGGAGGAGCCTTTGCGGGAGGAGTTCTTGTTGCCGCCCCTGATATTGCTCCCGGCCAGCGGGTCGACCCCGATCGCGTTGCACATCCGGGCGAACTCGGCCCGGAAGGTCGGGTTCGATTTGATCTTCGAGCCGTGTTCGACGGCGAAGGTGTGGAGTAGGGACTGGAAGACGGAGAGTTGCGTCTGCAGGGAGGCCAGGTGCGCGGAGCGGAGGTTCGCCCCGTGCGTCGCGTAGGATTGGCTGGTTTGCGTGCGATTGGCGAAGGCGCCTAGACCGACGCCGCGGCGGGTGGCCATTCTGCGTGGTGGTGTAAGGTGTAGATGCTGGGTTGGAGGTGGGATTGGGAGAGTGAATGAACGTGGTGGGGATGGTGTCATATGCGCCGAGGCCAAGAGTACTGTTTTCAAAGCCTGAGGCAGCAGCGGGACCGGACCTCTTATCAGCTAAGATCACCTGATGGTGAGAAGCCCGGGATGCAGATAAGGGCTACGCTTTACCCAGAACGGTAGGGCTATTTGGCTCATGCAACTAGCCCGCCCGGGACTAGCGCCATCAGGCCCACCCACAACCCATTTTTCTTGAAGCGCGGCCGGATTTCTTCCTCTTTCTTTTCTTGATCTTCTTCCCAGTACGACAGCACTCGCCCAACTCGCCCAACTCGCGAACTCATCGGACCGTCACAATGGCCTCCACTGCTACGTGAGACACACCCTGTTCATTGATCTTCTACCAGGCGCCATTTCGCTATGAGGCTTGTGAGAATTTCAGTTACAGTCGTCCATAATTCTCTCGCTGGAGATATCACTGCGAAATTTTAGCCTGGAACACGGTTTTTTTTTCGCTGGGCAACCACCAGCTCGATTTTTCCCGCGCCGGACCCTTTCCCCTCTCGTGCTGCTCCTACTCCGCCTCGCTCCTTGTGGACTCAGAAATGATAACATTGGGAGGGTTGGGAGCAAAGTGCTATACGATGGGAGGGGTCCGTGGGGTATTGGGGTTGAAAGCAATTCTTGATGTTGCCTTCTTCTCGAAAAACATTGTTGTGAGCTATCGTCATTCTCAGGATTCCTGCTGCTAGGGAGGAATGAGAGAGACGTAATGCTACAACGAACCCTTCCTGAGCGTTATGCTTAGGGTCTTGTCGGATGAGGAAAGTTGGATTTTCTATTTGACCTGGTTCGTGGCGGGTGCGAAAGGTATCGCTGAGACATGCATACTGAGTAGCATCTCACCACCTACTCACAGGCAAATGAACTCTACCCTTCACCGATCGAAGCTATGTCGTCGAGTGCTTTCATCCATTGCCTTCAGTACGAGAATGTGGCGTTGTAGCTGCAGTTCTTACACTCGGCGAAAGTCTACTTGCTTCACCGCAGAAGACGATTCTGACTCTCTTCCGCAGCACTGTCCCCACCCAGGACCAGGTCCTCGTCCCCGAGACCCTCCTCAAGAAGCGCAAGAGCCAGGAGCAGGCTCGCGCTGTTGCCCGTGAGGAGGCCCAGAAGAAGAAGGAGGTTAGTATCCTTGTCTGTCCTGTCTCCAGTTTTGTCTTCTTTTCCTTTCGTGCATCTACGGTGATGACAACCTACCTACCACGCGATTAGACTACGGTCGATGCTATCGCTTCTGTTAACCATCTTTCGGGGCTGATAATGATGCTTCCCATCTTTTGCATTGCATGAGTCTTCGGGTGAACTCGCTCGCTAACTGGATTCACTGCAGGCCAACAAGGAGAAGCGTGCCGTTATCTTCAAGCGCGCCGAGTCCTACGTCAAGGAGTACCGCGATGCTGAGCGCGAGAAGATCCGCCTTGGCCGCGTTGCCCGCCAGGAGGGTAACTTCTACGTTCCTGAGGAGCCCAAGCTTGTCTTCGTTATCCGTATCAAGGGGTATGTTCCTTCTTCTGTCCTTTTGTCTTAATGTGTGATGTTAACGTTGTCTGCAGTATCAACAAGATCTCTCCCCAGCCCCGCAAGATCTTGCAGCTCCTCCGTCTGCTCCAGATCAACAACGGTACCTTCGTCCGCCTCACCAAGGCCACCCAGGAGATGTTGACCATCATCAACCCCTACATCGCCTACGGTTACCCCAACCTCAAGTCCATCCGTGAGCTCGTCTACAAGCGCGGTTACGGAAAGGTCAACAAGGAGCGCATCGCCCTTACCGACAACCAGATCATCGAGGAGCACCTCGGCAAGTACGGCATCGTCTGTATGGAGGATCTGATCCACGAGATCTACACCGTCGGCCCCAACTTCAAGCAGGCCAACAACTTCCTCTGGCCCTTCAAGCTCTCCAACCCCACCGGTGGCTTCCACACCCGCAAGTTCAAGCACTTCATTGAGGGTGGTGACTACGGTAACCGTGAGGAGAACATCAACGCTCTCATCCGCCAGATGAACTAAGATGTTTTCATCCACTTGCTGGTCGTACTGGGTTGTTTCGGTCCGGGATTTCTAATTATGTCTTCGTAGCAGTTTAGAAATCCAAAAAGTTCAGACAACTCCATATCCATCTTCTGTGGCTTTGTAGACTCGCGCATTCGTGTGCCGCTTTTTGCTGTGTAGACTGCGCTCCTATTCTTTGTCTGCGTGCTTTCGGAGCGGTCTGGTAGCAACTGATATCCGTACTTGGTCGGGTATTTTCGCCACAGCTGCCTGCTGGCAGGTGGCTTCCGCAAGAACTCACGATCACACCGTCTCACTTTGTTCTTGGTGTCGTCTTTCGTTTCGTGGATTCGCTCAAGACATATCCCTGGATTAGAATGACCTCAATAGACATTTACTTTGGGTTAGAGAGTCATCTAGCTGCAATGCTCGACATGTTATCTCAAGTCTGCACTGGGGACCAATGCATGACCAAGCCGGGCCGTGGTAAATATCGCAAGCTTTATGGCCACAGCTTTTCACCACACCTGACTTTTGACCTGCCCCATCCCATCTATGATCCTCAGTCAGAGGGCAGTCTAGAGTCTGATTGCGTCCCGCGATTGTGTATCTCTGGTTTTCCCAGTGAAAGCCTCGCTGTCTTCTCTGTGAGCCCAGGAGAATGGTCATTGGGCCACCATGGGTTGGTTCGTGTTTCTTGTCCAGTTTCGGCTTGAACATGACATACTACAGCATTCTTACTTTTCTAGAGAAATATAAAAATCCTTTCTTAATCGCGAGTGTGGACTTCTGTTAATTTCTGATGCTCACCGTAATTGGTAATTATTTATATATATGGGAAGGTGTATCGTGGACGACGACCGTTATTATTTTTTCTCGGATCCTTTGTTCACCTTCAGATCTCAATATAAAGATGCAGGTTGACATTGGGTCATCCATGCAGTAATAGGCACATCCTCTCTCTGTTTCATTAATTTTATCCATCCCCCGGATCACCCCGACACTGCATCAGCCACGTGCTCGAATATTGAGGACGATTGAAATGCATGAAGAGATCACATGGTCCGATCTGAGTCAGCAAGGCCTCCCTCAAACAAGCAAGACCCAGTCTACCCGATGAGGAATAGCCTCATCGAGGAGCGATGGAGCCGGGAAAATGGCCGGTGGATGGATGTGGGAAGGAGGAAAGTCGATCACCTCTCGTCTCAACTCTCATGATATGGGTGCACCTTCGACGTCGTGAAAAACACAGATAATTCCAACGTATATCCATGAATCAACACATTCAAAAGCAAGTCGCAACCGAGTTTAGTACACACTCCGACATGCCCGATTATCTCATTGACGGGGTGTCCGGCATGTGAAGGAAGCATCATCTGCCATCCCCAGATCAACCTCCGAGCTCCACCATCCAAGATACCGAGGTTCCCTTCCCAGCTCTTGCCGAACACTGCGACCGTCTCCAGTTCCAACAACTCCCCAGATTTCTTCTTCCCTTTCCTCCCTCTTAAGCTTCTTCGCATCCCCCATCTTCCAACAACTTCTTCATTTATTCCTCCCCTCCCCCGTCTTGACCCCGCAACTCTAAACACCTTTCCCTCTCCCACAACCCACAACCACCGTTCTCCCTCATTCCTTCATTCCTTTCTCCTCCCCCTCCCCCTCTTCTTCTTCCTTCCTCACATACTACACTCTACACACTACACACCACACACACACATACAATGTCCGCGGAGCTGCGCTTCGACAACCAGACCGTCGTCGTCACCGGAGCCGGCGGCGGCCTGGGCAAGGCATATGCTTTGTTCTTCGCTTCGAGAGGTGCCAACGTTGTCGTCAACGACCTGGGCGGTTCGCACTCCGGCGAGGGCAAGTCCTCTAAGGTAGCGTAGCACAAACCGTCCCACATGCAACACCTCACTCCCTCTTCCTGTGTACGTATGCTAACATGGCATATTCATTGCTACCCAGGCTGCTGATGTGGTCGTTGATGAGATCCGAGCTGCTGGCGGCAAGGCTGTAGCGAACTACGACAGCGTCGAGAACGGCGAGGCCATCATCGAGACCGCCATCAAGAACTTCGGCCGCGTCGATGTGCTTCTCAACAACGCCGGCATCCTCCGCGATATCAGCTTCAAGAATATGAAGGATCAGGATTGGGATCTCATCTACAAGGTTCATACGTATGGTGCTTACAAGGTGGGTTTTTTTTTCTTTTTTTTTTTTGATTTACTGTCCCGGAGAAAAAGATGGTTGGGTTGGGGTGGAAGATATTGATGCTAAACTTTGTGTGTTTGATTTGAATAGTGCGCAAAAGCTGCGTGGCCTCATTTCCGTAAGCAGAAGTACGGCCGCATCATTAACACGGCTTCTTCGGCTGGGTTGTTTGGTAGCTTTGGTCAGGCGAATTACTCGGGTAGGTTTTTCTACGGGGGAGAATAGCAGATCGAGGAGTCAAGCTGATTGGTGTTGTTAGCTGCCAAACTTGGTCAGGTCGGCTTCACGGAGACGTTGGCCAAGGAGGGTTTCAAGTACAACATCCTTGCTAATGTGATTGCTCCTATTGGTATGTTGCACTGATGGTTGGCTGCTTGTTGGAAGAAATCCCACTGATGGTATAATAGCTGCTAGCCGGATGACGGCCACCGTTATGCCCCCTGATGTCCTTGAGAACCTTAAGCCCGACTGGGTCGTCCCCTTGGTGGCTGCTCTGGTTCACTCCTCGAACACGACTGAGACGGGTGGCATCTACGAGGTCGGTGGTGGCCACGCGGCCAAGCTGCGCTGGGAGCGTGCCAAGGGTGCGCTTCTGAAGACCGACGCTACTTTGACCCCTGGAGCCATTGCAAGGAAGTGGAACGATGTCAACGACTTCTCCCAGCCCAGCTATCCCACCGGCCCGGCCGATT